CTTCCCCTCCCCCATTCTTGTTCTCTTTCTCTCTCTAAAAAAAAAATTAAAAATAAATAAATAAAAATTTTAAAAATGAGGAATGGGAGACCTCTGACCTGACAAAGTTTTCTTCCCATTGCCTATAATCCTCTCTGAAGGACACAAAGCTTGAGAAATTAAATCTCCATAACAATCATGGAAGAATAATATGAATAACCATAAACATTCATTGAGAGCCTACCAGACACTGTTCAAAATGCATTACAGCTATCATTTCAGTTTACCCTACGGGATATTATTATTGCTATGTATAGCTGAAGAAACTGAGACACAGAGAGATTAAGAAAATCCCCAAGGTCACCCCACTAAAAATGCAGGGCGTGAAGATGAACCCAGGTGGTCTGAGTCTGGGGTGTGTGCTGTCAAGAACTGTACTTCATGCATTTCCAGAGTCTGGCTCAAGAATGAGGGCAGGCAAATCCTGGACTGTTCGTGGAATCCCACCAATGTCCTAGCAGATGATGGTGACCTTCCCTTCATATTGCAGGACCAAAGTGGACCAAGAAGCCAGAACCCCCCTGTTCATGCTCTTAGCCTTTGCACTCTGCCCACAGACCATCCCTTCTCCCCTCCCACTTATTTTCCCCTCAGTGGCCCCATCAATTCAGGAGGCACGTGCTTCCATACTTGGAGTGCCAGGGCAATTGGCAGACCCACACAGGGATGATGCAGCCGGAAGTCCCAACAGGGCCTGGGAATCACTGGGGCAGGTGGTCCCCTGAGGCAAACACAGGAGGGGGGCGCTCAGGAGCCACAAACAATTCAGAAGGGGCACGGACCCATATTCTCTGTTTATAAGCTGAACACTCCAGACCGTGTATTTTTCCGGGAGGAAAAATCCGTGGGAAGAAAGAGAGACAAAAGCAAAGAGGTGGTCTTGGATTCCACCCAAAGGACTAAGTTTCCACTCTGCACTATGGTTCTTCCTCAGCTAACATCTGTGAAACATTATGTCAAGATAGGCTTCAGTTTTGCCTGAAAGGTTTTCTTCTTCTTGCCTTTACATTTCCCAGAGCTTTACAAAACAGAGTTGTTATTGGTTTCTTTTTTTCTTCTATTTGTTTCTTTGTTCGTCTGTTCTAAGCTCCCATAAATACATGATTCCCTGGCTTATCCAACTCCACTGAGCCCCATTACTCTTTGCTATTTAAACATGCCATTACAACATACTTAAAAATTTTTGAATCATTTTTATGGAAATCTTTACTACATGTGTTATGTGCATCTCTATTCCTCTTAAATAGTATATATTCCAAATTTAGCCTTTTATTATTGTTAACTAGAAATTGACGGTATTAACCAAGTATGATTCACTACGTGATGCTCTCAGATGCCCCAGAACAGTAAAGGAGCCTTGGCCTAATTGACTCCAGAATGTTCATAGCTGATGTTTCTCTTATTATACTATAGTTTCTTCCCCTCCTGCTTGTTCTTGCTTCTCCATATTACAGCTCTTTACAGCTGTTCCTATTGCCTTTTTTTCTACAACCCAGAGGAAACTTCACTTTTAATTAAATCAAACCAACACTAAATTTAGTTCTAATACCCAGCTTCAAGTTTAAAGCTCTGCTATTCTCTAAGGTAGCCACCAGCCACATGGAACTATGGAATTGGTTGATATGACTAAAAAATTGAATTTTTTATTTCATTTAATTTTAATTAATTTTAATTTTAAAACCAATCCTCAATTCAGTTACTGGAGCGCTTTTAAGTATATTCATTAACAATTTGGGTATATGAATTCCCTTTTTCGATTAACATTTAGCATTTGAATTGAGAAGTATAAAATATACACTGATACTCGAAAGACTTGCTCTGCATAAAAGAATATAATATACTTCATTAGTAATTTTTATAGTGATTACATGTTGAAAGTATAAAATTTTAGATATATTGAGTTAAAGTATACTGTTAAAATTAATTTCACCTGGTTCTTTTTACTTTTTTAAATATGACTACCAGAAAACTTTAAAGTGTGCATGTTCCAACACATTCCGGTTGGGTAGGGCTGCTCTAAAACCTTGTTACTCAAATTATGGTCTGTGGCCCAACAGCATCTGCAGGGGAATTTGTTAGAAATGCAGAATCTCAGGCTTGAGGCACCTGGGTGGCTCAGTTGGTTGAGCATCCAACTCTTGGTTTCAGCTCAGGTAAAGATCTCAGTGTCATGAGGTCCAGCACTGTGCGTGGGGTCCGAGCTCAGTATAGTCTGCTTCTCCCTCTCCCCTCTCCTCCCCCTCTGCCCCTCCCTCCTCCTGCTCTCACAAGTGCAGTCTCTCTCTCTCTCTCTCAAATAAATAAATAAATCTTTTTTAAAAAATCTCAGGATCAAGCAGACCTACTGAATCAGCATCTACATGTTATAAGATTTCCCAGGTGATTCTTAACAAGATTAAGGAGCACTGACTAGAGAGCTGTGCTTCTCAAACTGTGGAGAGGATTCAGTTTTTGTTCTGTTGTTTAATTTCCAATCAAGTATATACAATTACATTTGTAAGATATAGTAAAAACGAACTATGAAAACAATGAAAATGAAATGAAAAAAATGTCAAAATATAAATTCAAAATTCGTATGTAGTCAAAAAATTCAGCAAATGTCATTAAATGAGCATACAAATAAAGTAATTCCAAAAAGTAGACCCATTTTTCTTTGAAAGTGTATATATACGCAATTAATATAGAAAATCACTATTACACTTGCAACCTTTAGCTAAATAAAACATTGTGTGTGAAACTGTCTCCATTTGAAACACCGTAGGCGCACTTTTACTATACATTGGACATATTAATAGTTAAAGTTTTTAATGTGATCATTAAGCTGGCTTCTTGTTTTTTATTTTATCTCATCTGGATTGGAGGGAAGACCATGCTCTTCTCAAGGGATAGTGTATATCTAAACTCTAAGTTTTGCCTAATAGCACACATAAAGAGAGAAACACTGTTCACAAAAGTACGTTGATTGGAATGGAAGAAGAAATTTTAAAGTGATCTCAGGAAGTTTAGGACATTCTTTTTTTTAATTTATTTTGAGAGAGAGAGAGGAAGAGCAGGGTGAGGGGCAGAAGCAGAGGGAGAGAGAGAATCTCAAACAGACTCCACGCTGAGCACAGAGCCCGACATGGGGCTCAATCCCACAACCCTGAGATCATGACCTGAAATCAAGAGTCAGACGACTTAACCGACTGAGCCACCCAGGGGGCGTGCCCAGGACATTCTTGTAACTGCTATCCAAAATGAAGCAAGTAGTGCTGTATTTTCAAAACTTATCTTCAACCTTTTATCAGTGGCCAGTTCGGATAGTTTATTCTTTAAGTTTATAATTAAATATCAGTTATCTTTCTTTCTTTAAGATTTTATTTATTTGAGAGAGACAGAGAACACGCACGTTCACTTGCATGAACTGGGGGAGGGGCAAAGGGAGAGGGACAAGCAGACTCACTGCTAAGCAGTAAGCCCAGCCTCAGTCTTGATCCCAGGACCCTGAGATCATGATCTAAGCCCAAGTCAGACGCTAAACTGACTGAGCCACCCAGATGCTCCAATATCAGTTATCTTTCAATGAAAGAAAATGATAAATTGTATGCATTTTCGGATAACAGTTTTCAAACTAACCTTAAAACATCACTAATGTAGTCCCACTGCCCACGTCTAGTATACAGCTCAACCACCACAGCATTTCTCGCAGGGGTCAGATAAAACTGAGACTGATCTGAGTCTCGTTCAACATATAGGAGTCCACATGCGTGGATATTGAGCAATGTTGAATTACCGCTGTAAAAGTTTCCAGATGCTTACTCTCAATTTCTGTACTTATCTTGTCATAGAGTGCTAATGATCAATTCAGCTCCATATTGCTCAGCCAACTACGTCTTTGAGTAACACTGCTTTAGATCTCCCGCAGAATAAAAGATCAGGACTTAAATAGTCATCTTTCTCAGAAGACTTTAGATTCCAGTTTTCTAGATTTATTCTGGACAAATGAGACTGTCAGAGGTGGGGCTACAGACAAGCAAGATACAGTGAACCCATTAGTTGATGAGATTGGCAGGATTAATTGAAACCATTAATTGAAAGATATGTTTATAATTTTATTCCCTGTAATCGCTATGCATTTCATGCAGATCTAGATTCACATCATTTGAGGGAACAAAGTGAGCCCTCCTCTACATGTGAAGTTTATATTTGTCTTTCCACTTGTTCACACAAATAAAATAATTATTGTTTCACAGGTAAAAAAAAGAACTATACATAACAAAATGGTAACCAATATTAAAATACTAAGGCCCGCCTTCCTATTAAACTCAGAGCATCCTTCATAATACATCCAAAAGACAGAGGCAATGTATATTAACAACTACATATATACCAAAACTGCTTACTATTCAACTTGGTGGGAGTTGTCTGAGATACTAATATTTGCCATTTATTCAGGTCGAAACTGGGGGTGGGAAATGGTCTTTCATCATGTGTGTGCACAGTTATCCAGTCTAGAAACCTTTGACCTGCTTCTTCTCCCAAATCCTAACTCCAAACCGCTCCACCATCCTGTGCCTTCTGTCATTCTGCTGCCTCAATTTCCACTTCTCTTTTTCAACTGCCAATGCTTCTGCTCAGGCTGCCTTCAGTGATGGCTAGAGTGGATTTGTGTTTTAGGCTCTTCACCAGCCTCCTTCCTTCTTTTCCAGACTTCTGTCATTCGTCTTTTGTAGAACCAGAATTAGCTTTCCAAAATATAACAGGAATCACTTCCACATTAAAACATTCAGAAGACTGCCATCACCTTCCTATAAAATCCAAATTCCTTAACCTTAGACACAAAATCCTTCATAATCTGAACCCTCTTCTCCATAATCCTTTCAACAACACCCTGTGAAACCAAACTACCTAGCAATTGTCCATCATCCAGACACTACTTCCTGGCTCTGGTCTATTTCCCTATTTTCCTGTATTTTGCCATAATGCCATGTGAATCTGGAAAGGTGAGTTCATCCTGGGTTTATTTGTTCACATGTAATGAATGAAATTGCAGTCCAGATCATAAAATTCAGTGTTCAGTGTTCACCCTACCTCAAGTGCAGGATAACAAATCCCATTAGAAAGGGTAACTTTAATCTCTGTCAATGTTTGAAATGTCTAAAAATTAACATCCATTTTCATGTGTGTGCTCACACATGCACAAATGCATACACACTCATGTGCGTACACTGTTTGTACAGGAACATGTTGAAGAAGGCAGAGCCAGCCTCTGTAAGTCTGTGGTTTCCAACAGCTGCAAGGAGATGTCTTGTTACTCAGACTTTCCATTCCCAGAAGATTATCCAAACTATGTGCCAAATTCTCAATTCCTGGAATATCTCAAAATGTATGCAAACTGGTTCAGCCTTCTGGAATGCATTCAATTCAAGGTAAGACACAAAACATCAGTCAGTAGTCAGAAAGTATTGCCTACCTGTTTCCTATTTCTCTCAATAGCCTAGCCCTTGGCTCTGTAGATGAGATCATGAACTGGCAAGATTGATGACACCTGGCTGGATTCCTTTTCCCCTTGTACTCACACCCACCCTAAGTAAATCTGGAGGTAGAGGTGGATACTTTCTGTAAGGATTCACATGTATACATTTTTAGTTAGTAATAACTTCATCCAGGTACCCAAAGGTACCTGAAAATATCAAACCACAATCTCAGCTTGGGACAAAAGCACATTGGGACATTGATGACTTCTGCCAGTACCTAGGTCCTCTCTTCTTGAGTATCCCTTTATAGGAATAAATATGTGCAATGGCCCATACACAAGAGAACCTCAGTATTTGAAGGAAATCTTTTCTAGATATCCTTGGGAATAGAAAAATCTTTGAATATTGTTCTTTTCATAGACCTTACCCACCTCCCTTCCCATTTCCAAGAACAGAGATAGGAAGAAGGTAGAAGGATGGAGGCAAATGAATATACTCTCTTTTTTTCCCCTTCTTTTCCTCTCCAAGAAACATGAAAATCCATGTGTTTTCCTTCTCCTATCTCCCCCTCTCCTTGATACAGATGGGGATGGTAAGGAATTCCAAGGGAATTGAAAGCAACATAAATGACCAAAACTAGTAGTAAATAAGATTCATATTCACAACCTTAAAAGTACTGACCAAAATGTAACCACTATCTTGAAGAGACATCTGCCCCCCCGTGTTCACTGCGGCATTATTTACAATAGTCAAGAAATGGATACAACCCTAGTGTCCATCAATGGGTACATGAATAAAGAAAATGTGGCACACACGTACACACACACTAGAATATTGTTTAGCCATAAAAAAGGAAATCCTGCCATCTGCAACAACATGGTTGGACCTTTAGAGTATTATACTAAGTGAAATAAGTCAGACAAATACTGTATGATCTCACTTGTATGTGAAATTTAAAAACACCCAACTCACAGAAACAGAACAGATTGGTGGTTGCCAGAGGTGAAGGATGGGAGTTGGGGGATATGGGTTAAGATGGTCAAAAGGTACAGACTTCCAGTTATAAGATAAATCAGTTGTGGGGATATGATGTACAGCATGCTGAATATAGTTAACTGCATTGAATTGTATATTTGAAAGTTGCTAGGAGAGTAGATCTTAAAAGTTCTTATCACAAGAAAAAGAATTATAACTATGTGAGGTGATGGATGTGAACTAAACTTATTGTTTGTTGGAATTATTTTGCAGTATATACATTTATCAGATCATTACATCATATACTTTAAACTTACACAGTGTTGTATGCCAATTATATTTCAATCAAACTGTAAGTATTCCAGTTTTCCAAAGAGTATTTTACTCCACTTCCTTATTTTGCAAGGGACACTAAAAATGAAACACTACCATAGTGGAAGTATATGATCCACAGAAATATTTTTTAATGCATCAGAGCTCCTGAATCTGAAGCATTTCCTTTACTAACATGGTACCCCAAGTCTATTTTAAAATAATTGAAAAAAAAAAGTTTAAAGCTAGATGTTCACCAAATTTTTAAGAAAGTACACACATAAGAAATTTCTTTCCTCTCTGTGCACTCCAAATTTTTAATTGCAAACAGTTCTTATTTTTAAGATAAAAGTAAACTTTATTTTGAAATCAATTAATTTTTAATTAACTGAAAACATATTTTAAAAAGGAAGAGTTCCTAATACAAATTTTGGAATCCAACAAATGCTTCAAATATTATAAAACAAATAGTGAACCCATTAGGAAAGACTTGAAATGCCTGTCTTCTCTGAGAACTGAAAAAGAAAGGCAGCAAAGTCTCTTGGCCAGTGGAGCATTGATGCTTTTAAATTTGACTGTAAATTTATTTTACATATTTTCTGAATCAGAACCTCGCACCTATAAACTTATATGCACTCAATTAAAACAAAAAATAGACTGAAATTTGGGATCCTCCCAGAACATTCAGGCCATAAAGTTGGCATTTCCCAATCATTCTCAGGATCTGGGAAAGCTTTAGCAACATATTCTATAGGACCTTTCATAAGATCCAAATTTATATTTTCAATTTATATTACCCATGTCTCTCCTAAAGCATAGCTCTAGGAGAGATATACATAACAGAAATAATGAAAAAGACATCCGAAGACCATGGTTCTCAGTTCTATCACGTACTGTGAGAATTTGAGCAAATCACTCAAACTTTTTGGATCTCATCACTTCTCTTAAATACCCCACCGCTCTAAACTCTAAGCTTAGAATACTTTCATCCAGAAAATTATAGTTAATCTGCTAACTCGATTCAATTTCTAAGTTTATGCTTATTAATTATGGTTAGTCTGTGCTCTAGAACATTTGAAATGTCAACTGATACATTGGACAGGAAGCCCTTACTAGAAACTTGACAACAAATTGTGACTATAATTCTCTTTTCAGACTAAAGTCTGCAAAGTAACAAAATGCCCAGATTTTACTGTCACCAGCCAATGGGAGGTGGTCACTCAGCATGAAGGAAAGCAAGAGTCTGCCATCTTTGATGCTGTCATGGTCTGCTCTGGTTTCCTTACTAACCCGTATTTGCCACTGGACTCTTTTCCAGGTACAGCATTTTCTGAAACTGATCTTAATTTGTCTCAAGGGAGCCATCTTGTTACTGGCTTGATCTGGGAATGCATTTCTATGGTTCCTCCGTTAAATAGTTAAAGTTGTGAGGTAACAGGGATTCTTTTCTAACCAGCACTTTCTGGCCAGCTTTTGGCTTTCATTTGTTTCAAAAACCAGTAAGTGCCCAAAGGTAGAATAAATAACTAGCAAGCAGTTTTATGCTTCACTAAGGTTCAATGTCCCTCCGTAAGTGATGGGTATCACTCAGAAAGTCTTCTAAGTCACGGGATACTTACGCAAGTGGTTAGCCTCAGCAGTAGCACACAACCAAAGCTGAGTTTAGAGGCCACAAAGGTCAATCAATGAATAAAGAAAAAAGTAGTGTGATTTTTGTTTGTTTGTTCTGTAGAGGTTTAGCTAGATCAGAGGTATTTGTCACTAGGTCAGTAGTCAACAGGGAAAAAAATCTTGGGACCCAAGTTAAGTCATCCTTGAGTCTCAGCTTCCTTATCTAGTTTTTGCAACCATGATTCATGTTAATCTGTGTCAAATTTCCACTGGATGACAGTGCAGAGGGACTAGAAGAGGCAATGGTTTCGTTTATTTTTATCTGCATTAAGTTTTCAAAAATTTAAAACTTTAGGAAAATTTTCTCTTCATCATCTAAATATGACCTGGAGGGATCTCAAGGCTTATCTTACAATAAACTCACATACCTCCAATGCCCCCAGAGCTTACTCAAGCCAGGTCAAGTCAGGATAAAGCACATCCTGAAAACTACCCTTGACTAAAGTCATTGAATCGAAAGCACCAAGTCCAGTCTTCTTCCTGATACAAGGAACTATTCTCTAACATCCCTGAGAGAGGCTCTGCAGCCTCTGCTTCAACAATTTATTTGGCACCCACAAAGTGCTAAAAATACAGAGGTGGATAAGACAACAGTAGCCTGTATGGAAGGAACAAAAAGAGACTTATAGGAGTCCAGTGGCGGAATCACAGTCTACATAGGACCTGCAAGTGATACCAATACTCATTTTATGACTAACTCATGTACATCCAATGGTGCTGGCTCTGCCCTCCACATGTCATTCAATTCAGGTCAAATTAGGATAAAGTGTACCTGGAAAGCAACTGAACCAACATCCTCAGTTTGAATAGGATGGGCTTGAGAGCAGGAGGTACAGATTCTGGGCTATACAGTCAACAAGCTATACAATCTTGGGCTTTCCACTTAACCTTTCTAAGCCTCTGGTTTTTTGCCAAATATGAAGGGCTTGGACCACCTTACCCAACAGCGTACATCACAAATCAAGCAAACGGAGCTCTATGGGACTTGCAGTCTTTTTTTTTTCCAGTCTTTTTTTTTAAGATTTTATTTATTTATTTGTTTATTTATTTATTTGAGAGAGAGCGCACATGAGTTGGGGGGAGGGGCAGAGGGAGAGGGAGAAGCAGACTCCCCACTGAACAGGGAGCCTGATGTGGGGATCGTGCGGGACTCGATCTCAGGACCCTGGGATCATGACCCGAGCCGAAGGCAGACGCTTAACCCACTGAGTCACCCACGCACCCTCTCAATACCAATCTTACCAGCCACTACCAATTGGCCATTTGAAATCCCTGGCTAGTTAATCATTAAGGAGGCTTTGAGCTCTAAAGTTCTGTGACTTTAGATTTGAAAAGGAGTCCTCCAAATCTCACCAACTCCCTCTCTGCCTCACAACAGACTTGCTTAGTACATAGTACATACACCCTGGGGTCATTGTTTTGTTTTGTTTTGTTTTTTAAAGATTTTTATTTATTTATTTGACAGAGAAAGAGACAGTGAGAGAGGAAACACAAGCAGGGGGAGTGGGACAGGGAGAAGCAGGCTTCCCACTGAGCAGGGAGCCCAATGAGAGGCTTGATCCCAGGACCCCGGGTCATGACCTGAGCCAAAGGCAGATGCTTAATGACTGAGCCACCCAGGCGCCCCCCCCACCCCGGGGTCATTGTTAACTGTTACAAAAATTCAAATTCATTGAAAACATTTAAAAACATGTGTCTGGAGACAATTCCAAAGATGTTCCAAAAAGTCTTAGTAAAAGTAACAGGTATCATAAAACAAATGTATAGCTTCCCAAGATAACTACTTGTATTCATTCAGATATACACATTCTAGTGTGTTTACTAACACAACCACATTCACCTAATAAAAGTGCTTGCTCTGTCTTCCTGTGATATAAGAGGAGAAAATATTAGTCTGATAGAAGACTCAGCCACAGAGTCTCATATTTGCTCATTTGTGATCCCAAAGAGCCGTTCTAAGCAAATCTAAGATAATTTAACATCCAGGGATAATGATTCTATGATTCTCCTTAAACTTGTCTAGCTCTCCCTCCTCAGCCATTCTCTGATCCATATTGGGTCCTGGCTGAATTAATATTTGAACTTGGTTGCATCATTGTTAAATTCTAAAGGCTCTGGATTATGGTGGGTTTTAACGGAGATTCATATCAGATTTCTAATGATTCAAGGTGAACTAAAGAGCTACCAGATCTTGACAAGGCTACTTGCCACAAGCATCCATATTTATCCCCTGAGAATCTAGATGTCTTATCACTTTTTTCTGGAAAAAATCGGTTCTTTGTATAGTGTGTGTTACTTTTGATTGATTGTGTTAATGCAACCTTGAGAGTATTTTCCAAAACTCTCTATTCACATTTAATGTTTCAGTGAGAAATTTGGCATCAACTGCCTGAGCTATCCTTTCTCGTTAGAACAGTAGATCTAAACACAGTATAACTAACATAACCCCTTTTTCTCAGAGCCAACTCTTGCTGACTCAGCAAACTCAACCTGAGTTATACTCAGTCACCAAGGAGAACTATCAGTGAACTTCCCCAACCCACATGGATCTTTTTGAATAAGAACCACATTTTATTTATCTTATTTCCCTAATATCAACTAGCACAGTGCCAAGCACATAGATGCCAAAAAAGGTTGGCTGAGTGGAGTGGAGGCACTTGACTCCAAGTTTCCTTTAACTTCTCTGCTCTTGTTCCTTGCTTGTGAAAAGCTCTAATATAGTCAAATATTAGTAAGTAGGATATTACTGTCCCATTGATTTCTATCAACTTTTAAGTGGTAATGACTCCTTACACTTTTGCTTAACAAGTCTTTATGCCACAATATTTCAACTTGGCAGTAAATAAACCTAGAGGCCTAGATTATCTAGTGAAATAGAGTAAGTACCTCCATTACATAATCCCTCACTAATTTCTGTGTCTTATAAAACCATGTATTCATATTTTGGATTTTTCTTAGAGTATGCTATTAAAAAATACCCACAATAATCCATCAAAAGGATATTAATGGAACAATATTTATGTTTCATTCACTGATCCTATAAAATTCTTTATTTGACTTTCTTTTTCTATAGGTATAAATACCTTTAAAGGCCAGTACTTTCATAGCCAGCAATATAAACATCCAGATATATTTAAGGACAAGAGAGTCCTTGTGATTGGAATGGGGAATTCGGGCACAGACATTGCTGTGGAGGCCAGCCACCTGGCAAAACAGGTACCATTCTTCATGTTACTTAATGAAAAACTTTATCTTAAGATGCATGCCTCAGGCAAACACTGATAAATGATGAAAGAAATAAATATGCCTAAAGCACACACACATACAAAAAACAGATTTTTATTTTTTTAAAGATTTTATTTATTTATTTGTCAGAGAGCACAAGCAGGGGAAGCGGCAGGCAGAGGGAGAAGCAGGCTCCCTGCTGAGCAGGGAGCCGGATGCGGGACTCGAGCCCAGGACCCTGGGATCATGACCTGGTCTGAAGGCAGAGCTACCCAGGCATCCCGAAATAAAAGATTTTTAAAGTATTTTTCGTGTTTATAAATTTTACTGCAAATTCCAAACGTCATTTTTCCTCCAAGACAAACTTCTCTGACTTCCTATTTTTGTCATTTTCCCAGTCATCCAACAAGAGCTACAGGAGACATCTGTGTCTTACCTGGTCCCATCAGTGAGAAAATCCTGTCCTTTTTCCTTGTGAAGATCTCCCATCCGCTCCCTCCTTTCCTTGTTAACCGCCACTACCCTCAGCAGGTCCATACTCGAAGGCTACCCCACTGTCCTCCTAATAATAATTGTAGAAATAATTCATATTTATTGGGGCTTCCTCTGTGCCAAGCATTTCACTAAATGCTTTACTGCATGGCCTCAGTCATCAAAGGAAGCCAGTATAGTGGGTCCTGTCAGTACTCTTGTCTGTAGATGAGGAAACTGAGGCTTACAGAAGCTAAGGAGACTGTCTGAAGTTGTGCCACTTGCAGATGGCAGAGCCAGCCTTCAAGTTTAAGTCCCTCTGACCCAAAGCACCTGTAACTAATTCTACCCACATCCCTGCATGCCCAGTCCCTCCTCCCACACAGCAATCCTTACAGACACCCTAACACCGACAAACAAATCCTTTGAAAAGCCAGCTCTCATTATGACGCTCTTGTGTTTAAAAACTTCTAATAACTCCCCTTACAAAAAAAAAAAAGTCAACTATACTCAAGTAAAAAAATAAAAAATAAAAAAAAATAAGTGGGAGAGAGAAGCAGAGGAGGCAGATCTGGGAAAGCACAGGCCACTTTTGATCGCTTTGCCAAACCACAGAAGCTAAGAAAGCTATGCTGGGTCCGTGCTCCTGCCAAAATGTACAGAGAAACTCTTTTTACTAAAATATAAAATAAAATAATAAAATAAAATAAAACAAAAGCAACACAAAAGAAAATACTAATGAATTGCAGACGATTAGCCCTGCATTATAGGGTTCTCCTTAATCCGGTTCAAATCTGCCTTTTCAACTTTATCCCCCACTACTCTGAGCCCTTTCCAATTCTGCGTCTCTCTTCCCCTTCCTCGTACCATACCCCTCCCTCCTACAGTGCCTTTTGTCCTTTATCACAATCCACATGTACATCCCCAGCTATCTCACCCCAACACAGTGTTCTCTCTCTAGTACTAATTTATGTAATAATTGTAATGAACATTCCTCAGTTGGCATTCATTAACAGCAAATAAAGATGAGTTGTTGGCTTCTGATGTGCCAAATGTTGTGCCAGGCACTGGGGATACACTGAAGAACACAATAGACACAAGATTTCTGCCATTGTGGAGCATAGAGTCATGGGGGACACAGATATCAACTAAATAAGTATAGATAATTAGATCACTAATTGCAAGAGTGAAAATAGCCATAAAGAAAAAGGATTGGGAGTGTGTGACTATAATATTCCTTTTGGAGACTTTCAAAAAAGGACCTGATTGATTGATTGATTGATTGATTTGGAGAGACTAGCGGTTTGGTGGAGTTATCCTGAAAGAAGGGAAAGGAGGTCCTGAAATAAAAAAGAATACAGTCTCATCCACTATGACCACCACATGTGGATAGCATATTATTATTTCTATTTCTCTAATGATTGGAAATTTCAAACTCAGTCACCTGGTAAACTCAAATAGCCAATCTGTAAAGTCAAAAAAAAAAGAATTCACCAAAACTAATTGTGTTACTGAACTTTATTGTCAATTCAAACAATGGTTTCTGTTGAAACTCGTTGTAGACAACTTTCAGTTGCTGTCATACCTACAAAATTGTAACCACCTGCTCATTGTTTTTTCACATGAGACCTTGGTTGTCACAGTATCTCATTCATTGTGGTGGCTAGCACTGTGTATGAAGAATAATAAGTTCTCCATTACATGTTCTAAGGCATCTTAATACTCGAGATACTCAAACCACGATCTCAAAAGAATAACTTTAAGATGGGAGCTGGAGGAGCCAGAACTATGTGGTTGAGGATGTATTTTGAGGGTGGCAGACTTCTGGTGCCATTCTAATCATGAAACTTCCTGAATTTCTGGCAAAGCCAGCCCTGTTCCCTGGGTCAAACTGAGTGGCTTCTTTGATTGCTTCCAGGTGTTCCTCAGCACCACTGGAGGGGCCTGGGTGATGAGCCGAGTCTTTGACTCAGGGTACCCATGGGACATGGTGTTCATGACTTGATTTCAGAACATGTTCAGAAATTCTCTCCCAACTCCATTTGTGACTTGGTTGATGGCAAGAAAGATGAACAGCTGGTTCAATCATGCAAATTATGGCTTAGTACCAGAAGACAGGTAAATATAGTGTATCTGCTGAGGGTTGTTAGGAAGAAAGAAACTTGATCCTTCCACTGGCATACCCAAACCAGGCAATAACACAACCACATGATTGAATATGAAGGAAAACCTCATACAAATGTACTTCATAAGAGCTAACTGTTTTTGAGTTCTTAGTAAGTGAAATTATATATTTCATCTTGTCAATAACCCTTTAAAGTATTATTATACTCTCCTGCTTATCATGGGTAAACTGAGGCTTCTCAAAGTTTGGTTACTTGCTCAAGCTCATTTAGTAATAAGCGAGCCCTGTGAGCTCGGCAAGTTACACAAGCCTCCGCTACAGTGATCAAAAGAGAGTGACTTGTCTATGACTCCTTTGACATAAGCAACACACTTGCCTTGTTTCACTATGTGGGAAAAATCAAATGCTGTAGTTGCCCCTCACCATCTCTCCAATGGCAATGCCTTCTTGCCCTTGCCAAGAGGACCATGATCTCAGTCTGACCTTAATTCGATCTGTAACTGAGTTATCACCTACGACTTATCTCATTAGCAAAAACTGACTGCTCTACTTTCTCATTCATTAAGTTTGTACAGTGATATTCCATTACCAGGGTGGCACTATAGCCTGGAGATCATGTCTGATTTTCTTCCAGAGTTCACTCTGGACCAGCATGGACCACGTGACACCCAAGCCACCACTGATGGCACACAGCCCCCTTGTTTGTGTACATACACTTGTTTTCTCTTGCTCTCTCCATCTTTCTCTCCCATACCTCCCTCTCCCCAGCTCTCCCCTTGCCTCTACTATTGCCATCTTCTCCTTCCATATTTCTTACCTGCCCTCTTCTACCTCCTGCCTCCAAGCCCCCAGGGGTTTTGACTCTTGGCACCAGAGCTTTGTTTACCATAAGCTTTGTCTAACCTGGATGGCAGCTGGGGGACTATGACGAATTTTATTTAATCCCATAAACCTTAGAAGATGTGAAATGAACCTAAGGAACTATCATCCCTTCACTCTTGGATTTAATCATTTATCATTTCCAAAGTTCTTGCATATATATACTATTTCATGTATGCCATGTTATTTGGTTTGCCATGTTATTTAGGATTTTGGAAATTTTGAGACCATCCCCGGCTCCTATTTCATATGCTCTTCATCCTACCCAATGAACTAAGGATGACAAGGGTCAGTATCCCTATTTTACACATGAATAAAAGCCAACTGGGACCAAATGACTTCCTCAAGCTCTGTTAAGTATAAACATTAGGACAAGAAGCCACCCTTCCTCCCTCCTATTCCAGTGGCTCTTTCCATTTTATCACACTGTCTCTTTCTGTGCCTTCACCATAAGCTCAAAAGGGCTCAGCTTATTTAAAATCATCTCATAAAGTATTTGCTTAGTGATCCCAAAGGCATAGGAAGAAAAAGATAATTCTGCCCTTGTTCCTTTTATTTTTTTTTTTAAGATTTTTATTTATTTATTTGACAGAGAGAGAGTACAAGTAGGCAGAGAGGCAGGCAGAGGGAGAGGGAGAAGCAGGCTCCCTACTGAGCAGGGAGCCCGATGCGGGACTCGATCCCAGGACCCTGGGATCATGACCTGAGCCGAAGGCAGCCGCTCAACCGACTGAGCCACCCAGGTGCCCCTGCCCTTGTTCCTTTTAAACACATGCCTGCTTTTCTTGTACAATTGCTCCCTAGGAGGAGAGAGCTCCCAGCAGTTCTCAGCCAACGTAGAAGTCCCTAGCTTCCCCTGTAGTCCTTCAGCCCTGGGCTATCTCTAATGACAGTGATAACTGAGAGCTGAAAGTCCACAAGGGAAACAGAAGCCAGAGAAAGCTCTGACCCCCTTCTCCACAGGCGTCCAAACTCTAGTAAATGGCAAACACATTCCATAATTCTTGGACATTCATGAGTCCCTTCCACAGAAGGAACTTCTCCCATGGCTGGTACCTTCTGCCTGGCCAAGGGGAGAGTCCCAGAATGAAGAAGGGAAGGGAAGGAGAAGGTAGGGCTTGCCATGCTGGTCACTGGCAGATCTCTTCCCTGCCCACATTTCTGTTTAGGACACAGCTGAGAGAGCCTGTGCTAAATGACGAGCTTCCGGGCTGTATCATCACTGGGAAACTTCTCATCAGGCCAAGCATAAAGGAGGTGAATGAAAACTCTGTCGTATTTAATAACACCCCAAAAGAAGAGCCCATTGATATCATTGTCTTTGCCACGGGCTACACCTTTGCTTTCCCCTTCCTTGATGAGACTGTAGTCAAAGTTGAAAATGGCCAGGCATCACTGTACAAGTACATCTTCCCTGCACATCTGCCACAGCCAACCCTGGCTGTTATTAACCTCATCAAACCCTTAGGCTCCATGATACCCATAGGAGAAACACAAGCACGATGGGTTGTTCGAGTCCTGAAAGGTATGTGCACGAGAAACCACAGGGCAAATGTTTTTGGCATGTTATTTGGAATATTGGAAATTTTGAGAACATCCCCAGGTCCTATCTAAAACAACACAATCTTTAAAAGCAGGATCCATTCTATTCTTCGGAATTACACTATCATAATGAATTTGAACCATTACCAGCACAAAAGATAAATCAGGAGTCAAAAAATATAAGTTGTTTCTACCTGTTATTTTCACCGAATCAACAGGTTTGACTAAAATGTAAAATTTCAATCAGTGAAGTGACAGAATTCAGTTGTGAGGTTTTGCTGTATCAGATAACTAGTGAGATGACCAGATGCTTACAACTTTTCGCCTGGTAGCATTATTACCAGGAGAATACCACTTTTTTTGGCCAAGTCACTGGGTACTAAGAATAAAAGATGAGCGGTAGTAAAGCATCTTCACCCACTAAGCAAGCAGGCTTAAAGTTAAATTGCCTTCTTTGTGCGTATGTTTCATAGGCATAAACAAGTTACCACCACGAAGTGTCATGATAGATGAAGTTAATGCAAGAAAAGAAGACACACCCAGTGGGTAAGTTAACTAAGTTAACCACTTATACATCTTTTTTGAATCATCACTCAAATTGGTAAAACAATAGCAGACAGAGGTGAGTTACACTGGAGGAAAAAGAAGCACCTGAGACTTAGAGGAAAAAAAAAAATCTAGCCTAGCTTGTTTAAGGAGAGAGGGCAGAAAAGAAATTGAGAAGTTTAAGTGTCCCCAGTCGTCACTTCAGACCATGATTTTCCAGCGCCACATGGTAAGCCAAAGGCAGATGCTTAACCAACTGAGCTACCCAGGCACCCCTCTTTTATGTTTTTAAATGAGTGGAAAAAAAGAAGAATATTTTGTGATATGTGAAAATTATAGGAAATCTAAATCACAGTGGCCATACGTAAAGTTTTATGAGAACATAGCCGTACTCATTTGTTTACAGATTGTGTATAGCTGCTTTTTAGTTACAACAGCAGAGTTGAGTAGTTGAGACAGAGACCATAATATGGCCCTTAAAGCCTAATGTACTTACCATTTGGCCTTTTGCCGGAGTAAATTTGTTGACCCTGTTTCCAGAGAAGAGGTTTCCACTTATGCCCTGCTCTTTGGCTGGCACTCAAGGGCCAGGGATAAGAGAAGGAAGGTGGCCAGCAAAGAAGGGAGTCTCGGCCTCCCCCACACCCCCAATTCTCACTCCTAATCCAGCTAAAACATCTCTGGTTTTATCTGTTTCACTGTGAATCTGTTTTGCGCTTTCACATAAATTTTCCCTTAAAAAATGGTTTCTCAGACCAAAAGAAAGTTTTAAAATCACTGCATTTAAGAATTTTTATCACTTCTCTAATTTATATATGTTTGCAGACTTCATGTTGATCTATCCTTGTCAAAGTGCTAAATCCCAAAATAATAAAAACATTTTAGATGTCTCTTTTTCACCCTCAACCTGGAATATGATTCAATCTCCATTATGGAATTCTGCTATAACATAGATAATTAATTAGAACTGCACAGTGGAATTGTGGAACACTGCATCAAGAACTAATGATATACTGTATGATAACTAACAACATAATAAAATAAAATTTTAAAAAAGCATTAAAAAAAAGAACTGCATAGTGGAAGGCCTCTTGTCACAGGTCAGTCAGTGATTTTAGGGACTAAGCCCTGCTTTACAGGGAATTCTATCCTATTGATTTTTGCGGACTTTTACATTATATAAATCTAACAATATTTGAGTTTTAGAAAAATTTAGGAATAGTGAAATTATGTAAAAACTTTCTTTCTAGAAATTGTTAATTATTTGACAAAAGAACTAAAGAAATACCAGCTGCATTACGAGCATCTGGAGCACCATGCGTATAGAGTATCTTGTCAAGGAGCTCATCTTGCATTTAAAAATATATATATAATGAGACCATTAGACAGCTATGAGCTTAGAGGGAAGAACACACTAACCATTTCAAATTTTCTAACATTGCTGTTTACTTTTTGGCACTTTTACTTGTTCTGGATTATCATTATTTTACCTTTTTGTCTTTATCCCCAATTTTCCTTTTATGAAGGTTTGGCTTGTGCTACTGCAAAGCTTTACAATCAGATTATATCACATACATAGATGAACTCCTGACCAGTATCAATGCAAAACCCAACCTATTCTCTCTGCTCCTGATGGACCCACGCCTGGCTTTGACCATCTTCTTTGGCCCATGCACACCATACCAGTTCCGCCTGACTGGCCCAGGGAAATGGAAAGGAGCCAGAAATGCCATCTTGAACCAGTGGGATCGAACATTCAAAGTCACCAAAACTCGAATTGTACAAGAATCCCCATCTCCTTTTGCAAGTTTACTTAAACTCTTAAGCCTTCTGGCTTTGCTTATGGCCATTTTCCTAATTTTCCTATAAATAAAAGATTACCCAGATGGCTTCTCAGATGCACATAGTAGATTTACAATGCTCTGGTCCCTCCATTGCTGTGTCATTCTCTTCATAGCCATGAACCATATTTGGGTGGTCACGGCTACCTCCCGTCCTTCCCTGGTTGGTCCCAGGGCTACCAATGGTATTCCTGGGCCTCTCCCAGCTCCATCTGCTTCCAGTGCTAGAGGAAGATAATCACAATTTATGTGCACTTGAAGGCTGCTAGGAAGTTCCAGGTTGACTTTACAAGAGAGAGCTGTTTAAGACAGCACTCTGAGCATTTATATCTCTCTCTCACATAAACTATTTTCATAGGCCTCAACTAAAACCCCCTACTTCACAAAAGATTTAGTTGTACTAAAATGATCCTGTTATGGTATGAGCTGATTAGAAATAAAAAGAAAGAAAAAAACCTAGAAACTGAATGTTTCAGGTGGTCTTTTATGCTCTTTTTACAAGTTGAGGGGAGAGAAGAGGATGAGGTGTCTACTCATAAAGGCCATAAAAGAATTAGGGGTTCAATAAATTCACTAGATGTGTCTAAAGGAATGCAAGGAAGATAGAGAAAGAAAAAGACCATATGATTTCACTTATATATAGAATCTAAAAAACAAAATAACAAATAAACAAAACAATAACAACAACAACAACAACAAAGAAACAAAATCCAGAAACAGACTCACAAACACAGGGAATTGGTGTTTCCACAGGGGTGAGGGGTGGGAGAATGGGAAAAATAGGAGAAAGGGATTAAGGGGTACAAAATTCCAGTTATAAAATAAGTAGGTCATGGGGATAAAAAGTACAGAATGGGGAATATAGTCAAAAATATTACAATAACTTTGTATGCTGACAGATGTAACTAAGCCTGTGGTGAGCATTTTGCAATGTATATCATCATCGAATCACTATTTTGAAAAAAAAAAATTATTTTAATAAAAATAAAAGTATGATCCTGCCTGGGAGTGCTTATTCCCCTAGAATGCACTCTACAACAAAACGGGGTGCTCCAGCTGGCATAACAACCCAAATCAGATCTACCCCACAGAAAATCAACCACCTCCACTCGTTCATGGAGCCAGGCTCCATGAAATGAAATTTCCATAAAAACCCAAAAGCATGGGGTTCAGGTAGCTTCCAGATTGGTGAATACATAGAAGTTTGGGGAGACTGATGCCCTTAAAGAAGACATGGAGGCTCTTCATCCCTTCCCACATATCTTGCCCTATGCATGCCTTCCATCTCATTTTTCCTGGGTTATATCCTTTTATAATAACCTGGTTCTCTAGCAAGTAAAATGGTTTCTCTGAGTTCTGTGAGCCACTCTAGCAAATTAGTCAAACCCAAGGAGGGGTCATTGGAATCTCCAATCTATAGCTGGTCCTCAGAAGCATGGATGACAATCTGGGCTGAAGTGAGAGGAGAGGGCATCTTGTAGGACTGAGCCCTTCACCTGTGGAATCTGATGCAATCTCTGGGCAGACAATGTCAAAATTGAGATCAATGGTAGGACACCCAGCTGATGTCCAAGAATTACTTTGCAGTGTAGGGGAAAAGCCCCCACACACATTGGAATTGGGTGCAGAACCCTTAACATAGAAACTCATAATGAAAAACTGCTCCATTGAATACTCGCCCTTGAAGCAGAGCATTCCTCATGAAGTTGGCTAGAGAGTTTCAGTGCTCAAGGTGAAATGTGGCAAGACAAACTACCCAGGTCACAGTGACATACCACAAGAACCAAGCTGGAACCTGAACCTAGTCTCCTCTTCAGTGCAATCACTGAATACATTGATCTGAGGGATTGAATGTACAAGTAGACAATGGCCAGACCACCTACAACAGTAGAACTCTGACCCACAACCTCCGCACCAGTCCAAAACAGTCAGGACTTGATCAGTGAGTGCCAGCTTCTCACTTTTATCCCTGCTTCCAACTCAGGACCAACAAAAGAAAGTCAGATATACTCCTCAAAACCAGTCATATATGATGCCTTGCTTCTAGCTAGCGCACTTCCACCTCCTTCATGCCAACAACCTCTAGTGAGATCCTGCCCCTTTTTCCACTATAAAAAAAAGTCCCTATTTTAAAACTCTGTAAATTATAGACGATAATAGCAATGCAAAATTATCTTGTCTATAGACATGTAAATGACATCTACTAAAGGTATAATTGGCTTCCCCTCCCCACTGTGGGAAACACTAGTTTTGCCTCTACTTTGTGATATTCATTTCAATATCCCTGAATCTATAAATGTGTGTCACCTTCAAACTGATGGTCACATCTTACCAATCCCCTCCCTCTTTAATAACAAGTTAAATAAAGTCTTTCAACTGTATTCCTTTTATATCTGTATGAGAGTCATGATTTTGCCTCCTTTGAGAATTCTCTTTTAGCACCTCTCTCAGGGAAAAACAATTCCATTCATCCATAGTTTTCCACTGAAACACAAAAGAAGTCACCTTGGTTCCCCCCGCCCACCAACACCCCTTCTAACAGTCATCAATCCTATCAGTGTGTCTCTCTTGCAGAGCAGGGATCCACTGGAACTGTGTGTGAAAGCACTGGCCACAGAGTCAGCCTGCCAGGCTTGAATTCCACTTCGTCGTTTTTAGTTTGATGAAATCCCACTTGTCTATTTTTGTATTTTTTGTCTGTGCCTTTGATGTTATATCCAAGAGATCATTGGCAAGACCAAAAATGTACAAAAGTCTACAATGAATCTCTCCTCGTGTCTCAAGTCCTCATGGCCAGAATTGCATCAGACACAATCATTTCCTCAGGGAATGAGATTCCCTTTTGATCAAAAGACCCACACCTGGAGCAGGAGAGGAGCCAGCATTCCCAGGCTCAGAGCTGCATGGAGGAGTGAATGGATCTCCGACTCAACGTCTCTCTCTTCACCATTACTTTTCTCATAATTCTCAGTGATTTCACAATCAAGTATACAATCCTTCCCCATCATGCCCTCTCAGTTCCCTAAACCCGTTACCTCTAATGATCTTACCCTCCACCTGTCTCAACCACTCATTACTATGTTCACCCTCTAGACCAGTGATGTCCAAAAGAACTTCCCACCATCACAGAAATGTTTCATCTTTACTCTCTGATGTGATGGCCACCCTCCTCGTTTGGCTACTAAGCCCTTGAAATGTGGCTAGTGTCAATAAAGAAATGTATTTTAATTTTTTTAATGTTAATTAATTTAAATCTCAACTTAAATAGCTATATATGGCTAGTGGCTGTTGTATGAACCGGTGCAGGTCTTGGCCTTGTCGTTCTCAGCAAGAACAGCTCTCCACAGTCTGATTTACAAACATCCCATTCTCCACTAACCATGCCATCGTCTTCCAGCTAAGTCCTTCTCATGCAATGTTCTCTTCTAACATTGGGCCTTCCAATCCAAACACTCAGCTATCTTTCACTTCCTGCCTCCCCTTAGCTTCTCATTTCCCTCATTACCCCTCTTAGACTTCGTGATTCAATAATATCACACTTGAATGTGCTTTAGCACATTGAAGACCATAGCTAGAATGGAGAAATCAATTCATGGCAACACAGAGTCTCTAAGGACAGAAATGAAAGCTGAATGGCAGAACTTAAAAATGCTACAATGAGATCCAATCGAATCTAGATAATCTAACAGCTAGAGTAAGTGATACAGAAGAATGAAGTAGTGACCCAGAAGACCATTTAATAGATAAAAAGGGAAAAGAGGAGGCCAGGGAAAAACAACTCAGAATCCATGAAAATAGAAATCAGAGAAATAAGTGACACCATGAAGCGTTCCAATGTCAGAATTATTGGAATCCTGTAGGGGGTGGAGAGAGAGAGAGAGAGAGGACTAGAAGATGTATTTGAGCAAATCGTAGTTGAGAACTTCCCTAATCTGGGGAATGAAACAAATATTCATGTCTTAGAGGCAGAGAGGACCCCTCCCAAGATCAAGGAAAATAGGCCAACACCCTGGCATGTAATAGTCAAACTTGCAAATCTTAGAACCAAGGAAACCATCTTAAGGACAGTTAGGGGGGAGAGATTCCTTACGTACAGAAGGAGGAACATCAGAATAACGTCAGACCTATCCACAGAGACCTGGCAAGCTAGAAAGGCCTGGAAAGACATATTCAGGGTACTAAGCAAGAAGAACATGCAGCCAAGAATACTTTATCCAGCAAGGCTGTCATTTAGAATGGATGAAGAGATGCAGAGCTTCCAAGACCGGCAGAAACTGAAGAATATGTGACCACTAAGCCGGCCCTGAAGAAATATTAAGGGGGGTTCTATAAAAGGAGAAAGACCCCAAGAGTTATATAGAATAGAAATTTACAGAGACAATCTATAAAAACAACGTCTTCACAGGCAAAATGATGACAATAAATTCATATCTTTCAATAATCACTCTCAATGTGAAAGGCCTAAGTGTTCCCATAAAATAACACAGGGTTGCAGATTGGATAAAAAGACAGGACCCATCCATATGCTGTCTACAAGAGACTCATTTTGAACCTAAAGATACATCCAGACTGAAAGTGAAGGGATGGAGATCCATCTTCCATGCCAGCAGACCTCAAAAGAAAGCTGGGGTAGCAATTCTTGTATCAGACTAATTAGATTTTAAACTAAAGACTGTAGTTAGAGACACAGAAGGACACTATATCATTCTTTTTTTTTTTAAAGATTTTTTATTTATTTATTTGACAGAGAAAGAGATAGCGAGAGCAGGAACACAAGCAGGGGGAGTGGGAGAGGGAGAAGCAGGCTTCCCGCCAAGCAGAGAGCCCGATGTGGGACTCGATCCCAGGACTCCGGGATCATGACCTGAGCCGAAGGCAGACGCCCAACGACTGAGCCACCCAGGCGCCCAACACTATATCATTCTTAAAGGGTCTATCTAATAAGATCTAACAATTGTAAATATCTACCCCCCCAACATGGGAGCAGCCATCTACATAAGCCAACTGTTAACCAAAATAAAGAGTCATATTGATAATAATACGTTAATTGTAGGAGACCTCAATACTCCACTCTCAGCAATAGACAGATCATCTAAGCAGAAAATCAACAAGGAAACAAGAGCTTTGAATGACACACTGGACCAGATGGACCTCATAGATATATACAGAACATTCCACCCTAAAACAACAGAATACTCATTCTTCTCAAGCACACATGGAACTTTCTCCAGAATAGACCACATACTGGGTCACAAATCAGGTCTCAACTGATACCAAAAGACTGAAATTATTCCCTGCATGTTCTCAGACCATAATGCTCTAAAACTGGAACTCAATCACAAGAAAAAATTTGGCAGAAATTCAAACACTTGGAAGCTAAAGACCACTCTGCTCAAGAATGTTTGGGTCAACCAGGAAATCAAAGAAGAACTTAAACAATTCATGGAAACCAATGAGAATGA